CCAACCCCCCCCCCCCCCCTCCCCCCCCCCCTCCAAGAACAAATAAAACTCATGCACACGCAGTACAGACTCCTCCGCGGACCCCCCGTCGGGGGAGGGGGTGCGAACTAGATTTTGTTTCCCGCTCAAGACAGACGTCTTTTCATTGGCCAGTCTCGGTGGCGCGCGGTCGCTACCATCATTGATGCAAGAAAATCCCCGATCTATAGAAAAGAAGACATGTTCGTTTTTTCATTCCCGCCAGGAGACCTTCTTTCGCTTATCTGTCTTTCGATTGATAATCCGGGTTATAGCGTGTGAATACAGTCTCAATACTTAATCAACACACACAACACGCACACGTCACGGCGCCTGCGCACAAACGCACCGGGTTCCGGCGTACGAAACCAACACAGGCAGAAAGACGCCATGCCCCCCAGAAACCCCCACCGCCTGCAACGGCGATGCATGCAGTGGTTCATGACGGAATGCAAACAAACAAACAAACAACACAAGAAGTTAACATACGATGGTTGGCCTTGTCGCAAGCTGGCGGACGTAAAAAACGAGAAGTACGTCTTGTCGAGAGAAGAAGCAAGAGAAAATCTCGTTTCATCGATCTTGGTCGTTGCCTATGGTTCGCACAGGTTATGCTGCTTTGTTTTTTCTCCCCTCCCCCCCCTCCCCGCCATTCGGAAGGTCTGAATGTGCTTCCATGCACTCGTGTTCCCGTCTCCCTCGCTGTCTCTCTTCCCCGCTTCCCTCTGCGATTCTCGCGCCCCCCCCCTTCTCCTCAGTGGCATTCCCTGACCAGCGTCTAATTTCATGTGTTGCAGAGGTGTATCGTAGGCCGACCGGTCTAACCGTAGGGTGCCCGCTAATGCCCCCCGCCCGCACTCCAGAGCGAACGCTACAATCGACCACATTTGCCGCCTCACGCAAAAACAATTGTGATGCGTACAAGAGCCTACACCAACACTCCCCGACAAAGCCAGCCGTTGTCGCTTGATGCCTCTCGCCCTCTTCATGGGCAACCCGGTCTACACCCCTTGTCACCACACCCGAAAAATCGACACCATGGTTACACCGCCACCAACAACACCAACAACACCTACGAACGGCTCCGCCGAGGGCAGCAAGGCGTCAAGGCATCCTCAATCCAATCCACGATACTCCCACACCCACTTCCAACCCCATCCCCCTCCTCAGCCACTGTAGGCCATGATCCAATAAAAAATCAGCTGCTGTACGGAAATCAGAGTCGAATGAACAGCACCGCCCTAGCTTGAAGCCAGCAGCTTTTGACGCTGTCGAATCAGCTGCTGTGCGTAAATCAGGGTCGAGCTAAATGCCTGCCCAAGCTTTAAGCCAGCAGCTTCACGCTGTCAAATCAGTTGTTGTGCGGACATCAGGGTCGAGCTCAATAGCAGCTGTGCCCTAGCTCGAAGCCAGGAGCTTGACGCTGTCGTGTAGTTGCGCCCGGAGCTGCTGGTCCTTCTGGTCCTCCGCCGCCCTCTTCAGGTCCGAGAGGACGCCGTAGCAGCTCGCCTGGCAGGCCGCCTTGGTGCCCTCTCGGGCGGCGAAGAACAGGCTCAGCCACATGCACACCTGGAGAGGGGGGGAAACGGCGGTGTGCGGTGCCACCAGGTGTTAAAATGGTTCGGGACTCGTGGATACTTGGTGTCCTCGTGCACCACCAACGAAGTTGCACGCACGTACTGGATATGGTTCTAGTTCGCGTTTGTATGCTTGCGCGGTTTCAGCTTCACGGTTCCGTGGTGTCCTCCAGCACCGCAAACGAAGAGGGTCGGCACACAAGGAATAAGGTTCTAGTTCGCGGTTGCACGGTTACCGTATGCGGTTCAAGGTTCACGGTGCCTTGGTGTCCTCGTGCACCACCCGAACCAGGCAGGCTCAGCCAACAAAAAAAAAACGGTTCAGGCATACGGTAAGGGTTCAGTCAAGGCTTGCCGCCATAAACTCCCACGGTCTAAAGGTTCAAGGTTCATGATTAACATACGGCTCAACGCTTGCGGCCGCCACGGGTACGGTGCTGAGGATGGCGATTACAACGCAGGATAGAATAAAGAAAAAAATAATAGAAAAAAAGCGGTGCCTCTTGCCATCTCGAAGTACTTCATGTTCATATGTGGGTCGAGAGAAAACACACACACCAGAACATGGCCAATATAAGCGTCATCCATTGTTAGCTGCGCTGAGACTGACGTCTCCCATTGGTAAGTCGGTTAGCGCGGTCGATAATAACAAACACAACTTAGCGTTTCCTTCCTCGAAAGAGAGGTTCGCTGCGCCCAAAACATGTACGAAGTATTCACCTCCTTGACGATGCGGATGGCAGCATGGACGGCACGCTCATCGCGTTCTCGTTCCTCTCTAGCCCCGCCGTCCGTCCCGCCGTCTCCGCCGCCTCCTTCCACCGCCTCTCGCGTGCCCCCGCCGTTTGCCGCCTTCGACGCCTCGCGCCCGAGAGAATCAAGCTTCTGCTTCCGCCCCAACAACAGGCAGCGCCAAAAATATAAGAGGAACGCCCCCCCCCAAGAAAGGGAAGAAATACGCCAGCAAGACAGAGAGAGAGAAACAGAGAGAGAGAGAGAGAGAGAGAGAGAGAGAGAGAGAGAGAGAGAGAGAGAGAGAGAGAGAGAGAGAGAGAGAGCTTGAACAATACGCCACATCTCGGTTTGGTTGTAGATCCCTTTTTATCATCGCACCACCACCACCACCACCGACAACAAC